TACATGGTCTACTCCTACTATGGTCTACCCCTACTATGGTCTACCCCCAACTATGATCTACCCCCTACATGGTCTACCACTACTATGGTTTACCCCCTACTATGGTCTACCCCCTACTATGGTTTACCCCCTACTATGGTCTACCCCTACTATGGTTTACCTCCTACTATGATCTACCCCACTATGGTTTACCCCATACTATGGTCTACCCCCTACTATGGTTTACCCCCTACTATGGTCTACCCCTACTATGGTTTACCCCCTACTATGGTCTATCCCCTACTATGATCTACCCCCTACATGGTCTACCCCTACTATGGTTTACCCCCTACTATGGTCTACCCCCTACTATGGTTTACCCCTACTATGGTCTACCCCTACTATGGTTTACCCCCTACTATGGTTTACCCCCTACTATGGTTTACCAGGTGAGCTAAAAACTGGACAGATGGGCCAACAGCTCTTCTTGAGCCAGGTGAGCTTAAAACTGGAGCGACGGGCCAACAGCTCTTCCTGAGCCAGGTGAGCTTAAAACTGGACAGATGGGCCAACAGCTCTTCCTGAGCCAGGTGAGCTTAAAACTGGAGCGACGGGCCAACAGCTCTTCCTGAGCCAGGTGAGCTTAAAACTGGACAGATTGGCCAACAGCTCTTCTTGAGCCAGGTGAGCTTAAAACTGGAGCGACGGGCCAACAGCTCTTCCTGAGCCAGGTGAGCTTAAAACTGGAGCACATTTGACATGATTCATGAAAATTGTTCCTAAAAAGTTTTAGAAAGCAACACAGAAATTCTTTCAATAAATAATCAAACAAAGAAAATAAACAAACTCTCCTACTTGTGATGAATGTTTTCTCAAGTATGTCACATCGGTGATATCAACATTGCACACAAATTCACACAGCCATTTATCTTAAGAACATTACAAGAAACAGATGTCGGAAAGCTCTCCACTTCAATTAGATATTCCAGATGCACTTCTGAAATCTCCAGTAAAATTTCGCTGGTGTTACGTAAGACACGGCCTGTTTCTGTTGAATCATGCATTATGTAATACAGAAATAGGTTAGAAAGATTGATTTGTAAATTTAAATTTCTGAATATTTTCAAATATGTAATAAAAATTCTTTCATTTACTTCAGAAGATCTGGATCAGAGAGAAATAAATATCCTAATATGGCTTTATTGAAGATATCAAATTACACCTTGTTATGACGTTGTCCTACCAGCAATTAACACATTAACATACAGAATAGATCTATATCAACCTAAACATACAGAATATATCTATATCAACCTAAACATACCAGATCACTGATCATGAGATCAGAACTATTTTATAACTAAAACAATTTCCTTGGATATTTCAAAATGAGCCCTAGAATATGTGTTTTTCAGATTGCATCTATTCTAAATTTTAGAATTTACCAGTAATCATGACTGGCAAAGGAACAGGTGAGCTAATAACCAGTAAAATATTACAAACTCTCTACATAGAGAAATTGTTTTTTTCACTTACATATGTAGTACATACTTTCACCCAGTTGGTCTCAAGGTACGGCAAATATGCTGGTCTTATCACAATTTTTGTTTTATTAAATCAACTAATTCTTTAACAAAATAAAAAGCCCATAAAGATATTATAATAACTATATCATGTATTTAATGAAAATTTGGACTGTTGACAATCAATATACAATATTATAACCAGTAAAATGATTTTTGAATATGATACATAAATCATATTATATATGAATATCAAGACTGTTTATAGAATGGCCTATATTGTATTGAAATTGAAGCAGGTACAAAACCACTGAAGTATTACACAATATATCTAAAGAAATGAGTGAGAACTGCTGGAAGGCTGACCGAGTTAGTCACAGGTTTTTACATCCCTTTGTTACCAGCTCAATGAATGCACATATGAATGTGCACCACACTAAGATACCCTCTGACCCAACATTAAACCTCTTACAGCCAGGTTGAACCTCCCTAGATAAGCACCTGTTTATGTCTCTATCATCAAGGGGCCCCACACAGGGATCACCTAATGGAATTCTCAAAGACATTACAAAATAGTCTGATCTTTAAGCTGAGAACACTTAGTTGAAGAAGCCTGGATGGGACATTATTGGCCAAATTAGTGAGGAAATCTAAACATCCAGATCCAACGGTGTCTGGGATCCACTTACAAAACATCTCCAATCTTTGATAAAATCTTGACAAAAATTGGAGATTTTGAACTAGACATGAAGTTAATTAGCCTACAGATAGTAAAGAGGAGCTGCTATGATGGCTCTAGTAGTTTGTCCTGTGGAAACCTGATACAAGTTCTCCTGATAAAATAAATGTGTTCCGAAAATCAGAGGTAGGGTTTCTAATGAAAAAATAAATACCATTCTATTTCCAGACTCTTTAAATGCATTGTAACAACACATTTATATTTTATACATAGACATCTGTGATAAACTTGATATGACCAAGCATGAGGGTCCTCCTTATGTGATAACACACAACTGATATTTTCTTGATAAAGAAAAAAATATGAACTAATTAATAAAGAAAGTGGCAAAGAAGGACCAAAAGTAATATACCGCAGTATACAGGTATGGGTTTAGAACCCAGAGCTTATCCTGGCAGCAAGATTTATATATATAATATATATTTATATAGCGTCTCTTCATGCTCAGCAAGAACATCTACGATAAAATACATAATAGAATTATGATCTGAACCATTCCTAATTTATGACCAAAGGGGTTTAATCCACACCGACAAATCATTAGTTTATTTGACTTTTCATGTATCTGGTTATTGGATGGGGACATACTGTTTCTATATTGATATGACCTTGGAACTTAATCCCCAGGGGCAGGACCAGATCCGGGGGGGGGGGGTTCCAAAGAGAAGAATCGATTCTGTTTTTAGACCTCCCTTACGGGCACCGATAAGATATGTATGGCACTTCAAGTTTTTTTGTCACATAATGGTGTAATACAACTTCACTCATGAAGCGTCTGCAACGTTTGTCAGCGTCCTATCTACATCCGGGGTATTGTTAAGGTCGGAAATAGGGTTGTCGATAACTGCTGCAATTTGAGTATCGCAGGTAGTTATCGACAGTATGTGAAAAAGAATACCAATTAATTTTGTTTTAACCATTAAAAACATATTTTTATGAATGACTTGCACTTCAAAGTTGCCTGTATGATTTCATTATATATATTGTGAATTGTGTAAGGTGAGGAGAACATGTACCCGACAACAATAGTGTTGCTGAAGTCTGTCCAGTAAACAGACATAACTTTAAAAGCATAACTAAAATACTAAAAAATTCAAAGTTCTCAATAAAATCCATGTAGATAAATTTGTAAATATGCTCAATATAAACTGCAATTACAAATTATGAAAAATATCAATATTTGAAGACACTGCAGTCATACGTAGACAGAATATAATATATATTGAAAAGTAATCAATTACATAGATCAAATGTTGATGAAAATTGTTCTGTTAGGCAGGAGGTATATAACTAATTATCTTGTGAACATTAAGAACCTAAAAACATTTCCACAATGATTTTTTTAAGAAGATTCAATTATGTTTTCTAGAATTAAATTTATGATCTCTATCATTGTAGGATAAAATGCATCATAATTCAAAATGTTTGGGCTGTTGGAATGCATCACTGGGGATCAAAATAATAGGAAATTGGGGTGGGACACCATATTGAAAGGGAACCAGAAAATGTGTTTGATCAAAATGCTGTGACGGTGACTGTTTTGCGCATGCGTGCAGAAAAGGGAGCGCGTTTGTTTACATATATGACTTGACATATCACTTGATAGTTTATACCTTTTTTAAGCAATTTGACACACGTCAGAACAAATGAATGTATTATGAGAGATTAATAATAGAAAGATAACTACCTCCACCTGACGATAACTGCCCCTGTCATTAATGCCACCAAAACAATGATTTCTCCCGTGATTAGTCACATGTACACTTATTGCAGATGATGAAATAGAGTACATTTCCAGACTTCTCCGAAATGCCATCATATAATAACTTACGCAAAACGGTAAACTGGAAAAACACATTTGAAGATTAGACTGTTGATAACTGCCTCCATTGCTCTACTAAAATCTTTAAATTGATAAATTTCAAAAATACCTTAGGTATATCCATGCTAGAATACATTATTAAATGAAAGACTGATACTCTGACTCGTAAAGGATTGGTTTCTTTCCATATCTGATTTTTTCCTATTTAGTCAGCCCAACTTTAAATTTCCACCACCCCATGTAAGGACGGCTAAGATCAGTCCAGTTTGGTAAAATTCCATCATTTAATGGTTCAGAAGAAGTCATTTTGCCAAAATTGTTGAGGGATTGATGCCATGTAAGAAATAAGCTAACATAGCTAATTAACCTTCACCAAGTGAACTTAATTGTTTTGATTAAAAAATATATATACTTATACAAATTTTACAAAAACCTGGTTGTGCGATGTTTTTCTTATAATTTTATCTTCCCCAGTAAACATGGTCATAGTTTTCCTTATCCTTCATTCCTTTCTCCACTTCCACCTTCATCCCCTGTTCTCAAATATTCCCTTCCCCCTATCCCCCATCCCCATCCCCAACCCCACCTCATTTCTTCCTATCACAGTCTCTGGCTTGTGTCATCTGTCCTCAAGGTGTTTGGGTTATTCATTCTTCCCCATCTTCACTCCAGTGTGTTGTTCTCCTTGTGTTGTTCTCCTCAGCATTCCTCTCTATCACCACCCTCCCCCTACCTATCCATGATAATGAGACTTAATTGTCAATGAGAGGGCTGCCCGATGTAAATGCAATATTTATCTCGACTGAGATCTAAAGCTATCTACCTCCCATCAATAATAACCGCCCTTATCTCCATCACTCTGTACCAAATGATAACAGGATTACCCCACTGGGGCCCCTTCCTCGTCTGACCAATCAGATGGCTGTAAGGTCTCTCCTTTGGATGAGGGATGAGTGGAGACTGGGGCTGTGTAAACAAAGCTTCACTCACTTGATCGATGCACATGAGCTAGCAGTTCATGTACCTCAACACAGAGAGCAGTTCAACTCCGGACATTTCACAGGTAAGTCTGTATCCAGCAGCTACACTCATTCAGGTTTCTTTTCAGGGCTGTTAGACATTCTAAAACACTTAACTTGATATGGCCTGTGCTGGTTGTGTCAGAAACTTTGGATGGATACTATCACTGTTACATCTACAGCTCACAACTTTCATATATTTATGTAAACATTTTCACTATATTCTGTTTTCTTAACATTTCAAACTGATAGAATCTCAGAAATATCAGTGTCTTGATTACTTTAAAATAGGAAACTAGTTCACTAAAGAAAAACTTTGGAAAACATCTCTAGAATAATAAAGTAAACAATTCAAATTCTTATGAAATGGCTGTCAGTAGGGCAGAGCATTAATGTCTAATACCGTAGAAACAGGACATACATGTGATAAATGTCTGGTACCATAGTAACAGAACATTTATGTTTGAAACTATACTAACAAAACATTGATATTTGGTATGATAATAACATAGCATTAATGTTTGATATTATAGTAACAGAATTCTAATGCCTAATGACATAGTAACAGGACCTCAAGGTGTGATGCGATATCAACATAGCATTAATGTTTGATAATATAGTAACAGAATGGTGTGATACTATATCAACATAGCATTAATGTTTGATAATATAGTAACAGAATGGTGTGATACTATATCAACATAGCATTAATGTTTGATAATATAGTAACAGAATGGTGTGATACTATATCAACATAGCATTAATGTTTGATAATATAGTAACAGAATGGTGTGATACTATATCAACATAGCATTAATGTTTGATAATATAGTAACAGAATGGTGTGATACTATATCAACATAGCATTAATGTTTGATATTATAGTAACAGAGTTCTAATGTCTAATGACATAGTAACAGGACCTCAAAGTGTGATACTATATTATCATAGCATTGATGTTTTAATACAACAGTAACATTGCAGGATATTTATGTCTGATGATATAGTACTATACTAACAAAACATTGATATTTGGTATGATAATAACATAGCATTAATGTTTGACATTATAGTAACAGAATTCTAATGTCTCATGACATAATAACAGGACCTCAAGGTGTGATACTATATCAACATAGCATTAATGTTTGATAATATAGTAACAGAATGGTGTGATACTATATCAACATAGCATTAATGTTTGATAATATAGTAACAGAATGGTGTGATACTATATCAACATAGCATTAATGTTTGATAATATAGTAACAGAATGGTGTGATACTATATCAACATAGCATTAATGTTTGATAATATAGTAACAGAATGGTGTGATACTATATCAACATAGCATTAATGTTTGATAATATAGTAACAGAATGGTGTGATACTATATCAACATAGCATTAATGTTTGATAATATAGTAACAGAATGGTGTGATACTATATCAACATAGCATTAATGTTTGATATTACAGTAACAGAATTATAATGTCTAATGACATAGTAACAGGACCTCAAGGTGTGATGCGATATCAACATAGCATTAATGTTTGATAATATAGTAACAGAATGGTGTGATACTATATCAACATAGCATTAATGTTTGATAATATAGTAACAGAATGGTGTGATACTATATCAACATAGCATTAATGTTTGATATTACAGTAACAGAATTATAATGTCTAATGACATAGTAACAGGACCTCAAGGTGTGATACTATATCAACATATAGCATTAATGTTTGATATTATAGTAACAGAATTTTAATGTCTAATGACATAGTAACAGGACCTCAAGGTGTGATACTATATTATCATAGCATTGATGTTTTAATACAACAGTAACATTGCAGGATATTTATGTCTGATGATATAGTAACAGGACCTTTAAGTGTAATGTATCACAGTAACAGATAAGTAATGCCTGATACTACAGTAACAGTGCAGAATATGTATCAGGGATTAATCTAGGTTTTTGGGGAAAGTGCCCTTTCGGTAAATAGGAGGAAAATACATAAACGAACTGACTCGATGTTTGTTATATTATGTATGAGTACTAGCTGTTATTTCTTAGAATAAACAAGAGTACCGCAGGGCGGAACAAAATACGCCCGTCGAAAGCCATATAGTGTTATATACTTTCTTACATTGAAATAAGATCTGCATCATTCTAAGAGTGGTTAGCTGACATGCTATAAAAAATGTAGGAGAAAATCTTTGGACAAAAAATCAAATACTGAAATGAACAAAAGGCAATACATTATGCAAAAATCGTTGAATCAAACTTTTTTTAAGGGAGACACAACTTCATATCATGATTATAATGTATACCAAGTTTCAAAGAGATTGGTCGAAATATGTAGAAGGGGATCTCCGGACAAAAATCAAATACTAAAATGAACAAAGGGGAATAACTTTTGGAAAAATTGTAGAATCAAAACTCTCTTAAGGGAAACACAACTTCATATAATTATTATATTGTATACCAAGTTTCAAAGAGATCGGTCGAAAAATGTAGGAGGAGATCTCCGGACAAAATTCAAATACTGAAATGAACAAAAGCAATATTTTTTGTAAAAATCGTCTAATCAAAATTCTTTTAAGAGAGACACAACTTCATATCATGATTATAATGTATACCAAGTTTCAAATAGATCGGTCGAAAAATGTAGAAGGAGATCGCCGGACAAACAAAGTTTACGCCGGACGGACAACGCCATACCATAGTACTCCCGTCAAATTTGTTGGGCGTATAAAAAACAGTATAACATGTTGATATATTCTAAAGAGTTTTATTTTCACAACTTCATGAAAACTTCGAACAGTTTGTTCAGATCTGAGTCTTAGACTATGTTCAACGTTACGTCTGGCACCTCTGCACTCGAAGACGTAGTTGCATGTTCACTGCTGTCAGGGGACCTGCATCAATTTCCGATTTAGTCTGACCTTTTGCCTGTTTGGCAAACAATGCATCTAATAGTACGATTTCCTTTTGCATCTTTCTTTCTTATGTTTGATATCATAGTAACAGAACATTAATGTCTGATACCATAGTAACAGAATATTAATGTTTGATACCATAGTAACAGAACATTAATGTTTGATACCATAGTAACAGAACATTAATGTTTGATACCATAGTAACAGAACATTAATGTTTGATACCATAGTAACCGAATGTTAATGTCTGATATCATAGTAACAGAATGTTAATGTCTGATACCATAGTAACAGAACATTAATGTCTGATACCATAGTAACAGAATGTTAATGTCTGATATCATAGTAACAGAACATTAATATCTGATATCATAGCAACAGAACATTAATGTCTGATACCATAGTAACAGAACATTAATGTCTGATATCATAGTAACAGAACATTAATGTCTGATATCATAGTAACAGAACATTAATGTCTGATACCATAGTAACAGAACATTAATGTCTGATACCATAGTAACAGAACATTAATGTCTGATACCATAGTAACAGAACATTAATGTCTGATATCATAGTAACAGAACATTAATGTCTGATATCATAGTAACAGAACATTAATGTCTGATACCATAGTAACAGAACATTAATGTCTGATACCATAGTAACAGAACATTAATGTCTGATACCATAGTAACAGAACATTAATGTCTGATACCATAGTAACAGAACATTAATGTCTGATACCATAGTAACAGAACATTAATGTCTGATATCATAGTAACAGAACATTAATGTCTGATATCATAGTAACAGAACATTAATGTCTGATACCATAGTAACAGAACATTAATGTCTGATACCATAGTAACAGAACATTAATGTCTGATACCATAGTAACAGAACATTAATGTCTGATATCATAGTAACAGAACATTAATGTCTGATATCATAGTAACAGAACATTAATGTCTGATACCATAGTAACAGAACATTAATGTCTGATACCATAGTAACAGAACATTAATGTCTGATACCATAGTAACAGAACATTAATGTCTGATATCATAGTAACAGAACATTAATGTCTGATATCATAGTAACAGAACATTAATGTCTGATACCATAGTAACAGAACATTAATGTCTGATACCATAGTAACAGAACATTAATGTCTGATACCATAGTAACAGAACATTAATGTCTGATATCATAGTAACAGAACATTAATGTCTGATATCATAGTAACAGAACATTAATGTCTGATACCATAGTAACAGAACATTAATGTCTGATACCATAGTAACAGAACATTAATGTCTGATACCATAGTAACAGAACATTAATGTCTGATATCATAGTAACAGAACATTAATGTCTGATATCATAGTAACAGAACATTAATGTCTGATACCATAGTAACAGAACATTAATGTCTGATACCATAGTAACAGAACATTAATGTCTGATACCATAGTAACAGAACATTAATGTCTGATATCATAGTAACAGAACATTAATGTCTGATATCATAGTAACAGAACATTAATGTCTGATACCATAGTAACAGAACATTAATGTCTGATACCATAGTAACAGAACATTAATGTCTGATACCATAGTAACAGAACATTAATGTCTGATACCATAGTAACAGAACATTAATGTCTGATACCATAGTAACAGAACGTTAATGTCTGATACCATAGTAACAGAACGTTAATGTCTGATACCAAAGTAACAGAACATTAATGTCTGATACCATAGTAACAGAACATTAATGTCTGATACCGTAGTAACAGGACTGATTGTTATTAATGTCTTAAATTATAATGGCATAGTAACAGATAGGCAGACAATCTCTTTGTTCATAGTTAATGTCCAAAATTTTAGCAATGTTTTTATAAAGGAGGAACTTCACAATCGCCTCAACAAGTATACAAATATGATTACTGATTTAACTTCAAAATAATGGATATATTAAACAATGTAATGATGCCTGGTTGCTGACATTACCCTGATAGCATTGTAGTATTTTGGTTACATTTCCAAAACACAGACAAATAAGACTAAGACAAGAGGTTGCATCAGGGCCCTA